GCGGGGCCCCGGGTTGAGCAGGCGCGGCGATCCGGGCCGCGATCCTGTAGGTCGCCTCAGCTCGGGGTCCGTCCCGCCAGGCCCCAGCTGCCGAGGGGAGGCGGGGAGGGCGGCGCGGGCCGCGGTGACCAGCGTCCTCCCTCGGTCCCCAGGCTCTGGGGTCCGTCCCGGGGGGACGGCGCCGGGGGAGCAGAGCCGGGGCGCCTGGCCGCCGAGGCCGCTGTCGGAGGGGCACAGAGGGACGCGGCGTGGACGGAGCCCAGGCTGCCGGGCAGAGCGGCCAGCAGGCCTCTCGGGCGCCTTGGGCCGGGCTTGCCTGGAACTGGGCGATCACAGCGAGCGAGCGCGCGGGGAACCTTCCCCAGGGGGAACCTGGCCGAACAAAGGGACGAGGAAGCTTGGGTTGGTTTTCTTTTTCCCCCTGAAGACTGAAGCCGGGGCCCACACACTGAACTACATCCCCATCCCTCCTTTTCTCTTCTCGCTCTTCCTCTCCGGCTTTCCGGAAGGGTCTAGGTTGCCGCCCACCAGACAGGAAGCGCGCAGGGTGCGTGTCCGGCGCGCCGTGCGCACCCAGGGGCGAAGGCACTGAGGGCCCCAGCGCCGCGAGCTCTTCCTTCCCTGCGGCGCTCATCTGCCCGCCCGTCGGCGTCACCGGCCGCCGCTGGCCTGAAGCACCGCGCTCAGCATCTCCCTGCTCGTAACAGTGCCAGGCACTGGTGAGCCGCCTGGCAGAAGCTTCTTGGCCCTTGCTGCCCTCTCTGGACCAATCCCAGAACACAGCGCGCAGGCTGCGTTGGTTGGCATCTGTTGCACGCACTGGCCGGGTCCTCCTGCCCGCTCCTGAGGCCGTGTGCTAGAGTCCTAGTCTGCAGATGCTGAGTCCAGGTCGTGATCTGCGGACGGCGCCCCGGCCCCCAGCGCACTGGCTGTGTGTCCCAGGTCAGATGACGCAACCTCTCAGATCTTCGGTTTCCTCTCCAAACGGGAGTCTGCAGGTCTGTTTTCCAGGGAAACAGATTGTGTGTGCGGTGTAGCTGAAACTGTGCACCAAGTATTTCCTGGCCCCTTCCCGCCCCTGGAGAATCCACGGCTCCATGGCCTGAGGTGAGCTGCGGCCCACAGTGCAAGACAAAACTGCTTATTCCACCATGGGCCCGCTGCCTCGTCCTCTTTCCCGCCGTGACACTCGCGACGGTGCAGCCGAGTGGAGGCAGCCAGCGTGGGTGGCCGAACAGTCCCCAGGAACCGCAGAAGCCGGCGAGGTTCGGTGTTTCTGATAGCATGACTTCCCTATGCAGGGACGTCTTCCGCTCCTGCCGAATAGACACTCCTGCCAGGTGCTGGTACCGACTTAGGACAAAATCCTCTCTGAAGGTAGCTGCTAGGGTGCTTGATTTCAGTTGCAGAGATGGTATGAGACAGGGTTAGTACATGGCCTGAGATGTCCCAGCTTGTCAGCGCTTAAACCCGACCTGTGCAGTTCCAAGGCCCCTGCTTCCTGTCCGCTCAGTGCCAGGCTGCCCTTCCTCCACTGGGCAGGGTAAGGGCCAGGGGTTCCTCTCCAGCCTGAACCCTGTGCGGGACCCCACTTCAGCAAAGTGTAGTCACAGGTCGTGAGTGGTCTGTGCAGAGAGCCACCTGGGATCGCAGTACAATGGTGATGACGTGTGGCCTCAGAAGTGGTAACAGGACGTTCCAAGGGTTGATGTGAGGCCCAAGGGGCCTCCTACGCTCAGCCAACCATAGTTACTGATGTTATACTTAATTTTCCTCTTCCATGGCGCCGCTAGAATTCTGGGCAGTTACAAGCAGGTCATCAGCTGCTTGGTTAGACTCGGATTCCTGGTTTGGTGCTGGATGCAGATGTTGTAACATCTGCACGCAGAACCCCGACCAGCACCCTGCCCAACATCTTGTATTTAGGTAAGGCTCGTCACGCGTGCTGTTTTCCAAGCAAGAGAGAGGGCATGCTTCCTTTCTTGAGAACTCTTTGTTCAGAAAACACTGTGATACCAGTTACCATTTATCTCGTTTATAACGCACAGTGATCCCTCACGTGTCAGGCGGCTCCAGGCTCAAACTTTCTGCTACTTGAACAACAAAGTAAGAGTCTGCTCTGTGTTTGTAACTTTGCTCGATAATCAAATCGAAGCTCTGACCTGAAAAACCCTGTATGGGCTGAGAGTGAGTCTCACGTCGTGTGTCGCTGTACACGGGAAAGGTGATGCTTCAGGCTGGGCCCCGTCTCATCCTGAGGATACACAGTGCTTGCCTCAGCGCGTTCACACATTCGTCACCGGGCCTTTTTTAAATTTTCACTTTATTTGCATAAAATAGCATAGCCACAGCTCCAAAGAAAGTTAGTGACACCAGCAGTAAGCTAAGAGGAAAACAGAATGGCGATAGAGTTAAAGAAAAAAATCGTTGTGAAATTTTTGTTAAAGTCTGGAGAAATGAATTTAGAAGTGTAACTCGGCCTCAGAACCAATTATTTGATTTTCTGTTGTTTCTTACAGGAAAAATATGTTCAGTTCCCGAACTTGTCAGTGTTCGAACACAAATCTGAAACAAATTGAGTTTGACAACCAGGATATCACTGTTTATACTTTATCGATATTGTGTGTATACCACCTCTAATCAGCACAAAACTGCAAGGTGCATGTCAGGGTCCCTGCCCACTGGTAAGAAAACTGAGTCTCAAAAAGGTCAAGTTGCCCATGCAAAAAGAAATAACCCTTGTCTGGATTTGAAACCATGGCTCTGGGTCTAACGCTCTGCTGTAACCTCCCTTCCAAGCTGCCCGACCCCACCGCTCCAGTTAAGTCATGCTCGGTCTTGGTTTGTGCTGTCACCCCTTGCACTCTTGGGATGAGGTTTGGAAAGTGACCTGAAACTGCGACATTCCCACCGTGAGCAGGTTGTCCGGTGGAAAATGTGTGAAGCAAGCACCTGCTCCTCCCCACCCGGAGGAGGCTGAACGCCCACATGCCTGTGTCCAGAGGGAGCTGACAAACACTGCCCCCCTGGACACGTGCCGAAGCCTCCCTCGGACCGACAGGACCGTGGAACAGTGGGCCAGGAGCACAGCAAGCTTTGTCACTGGCAGGCCGGGCGGTTCAGAGAGCAAATGGGCCTCTCCAAGGGACCCCACTGGAAATGGGACTCCAAGTCCCCAGAGATGGCGAGGCCTTAGGTAGAAGAGGCGTGGGCCCCTCCACCACCTCCATGGTACTGCTTTTTGACCAGGACATTGGACTGACACCTAGGAGAGAAATAACCTATGGTGTTAAGTCCATGAATGTCGAGGGTTTATACAGCTAGTGCTGCCCTAACTAATACATACTGTTCATGCTAGGTGTGTGACACGTAAAATACAAGGCAGCACTCAACCGTATAGCACACACCCATAATCCCAGCCCTCAGGAAGCTGAGGCAGGAGGCTCACCCCAAGTTTGAGGCCAGCCTGAGCTATGTAATGAGTACAAGGCCAGCCTGGTCAAACAGGAGTATTCAACAGTGTTAGTGGAACAGGAAGAAATAGATTTACTGGTTCGGCCATGTTATTTACTACATGCCTGGCATAGGGGCTGAGGATGGGCTGAGATGGTACCAGCAAGGCCTCATCTTCTGGAGTTACTGACAGTGAGTTGTAAGCACAGTTTGTGGCCCCTAAGCTTGGGAGAACCTAAGCTATTGCATACGCAATCAATAAAAACTAAAGTTTCCTCCAAAATCAGTGCCAACAACTGTGCTTCCCCAACTAGGTGGCCAGAGGACAGTGACCTGGAACACAGACTCTGTCATGAAAACCAGCTGGTCTCAAATCCTGGCTCCACACCTTTCCAGCGGTGTGTGATCTGGGGCCACTTTCTCTTGGTTTCTCAGTTTTCTCATCTTTAAAATGGGGACATTGAAAATCCCACTGCAAGAAGCTGTTGTTGAGGACCACTACACGTTGGATCTTCAGGGGCCCCAAAGATTCAGACCCTGGTGCAATGCTATGGGGACACAGTGGGGCCTTTGAGAGCTGGGGCCTAGGGGGCATCTGCTGGTCACTGGGTCATTTAAGGAGATCGTGGCCCCAGCTGTACACCTCCCCACACCCCACTATGATGCACCCCTTCACCACAGCCCAAAAGCAGTGGGGCAATATGCCATACACTGAAATGTCCAAAGCTGTGAGCCACGTCAACTTCTCCTTACCAGCTGGTCGTCCCATTAGTGACAAAAGGCGGACAGAGTTGAACCACAAAACCGCAGAGAACAGCAAGAGCTGTGTGGTGGCCCCGGCTGCTGCTGGCTCTCATAGCCTCCACTGCCTTCCACGGTGAGTCTTTGCTCACCAAAGGAGATACACAAGGTCTCTTTGTGGGGGTTGATGAGACAGCAGGACACAAAAGTACAGGAGGAGCACCCCTAATGCAGAAACCCGAAATCCAAAGAATCCAAAATCCGAAACTGTGAGAGCATCCGGTGGGAAACCCCGCACTGGCAACCTTACGCGGGCACAGAATCCTTTGAAACAGTATCTGCCATGACCCCAGGCTGCAGCTGAAGGCAGATCTGAAACAGAAGTGAATTCCGCAGTGCAACGCAGGTCCCCTCCCCAGGACAGCTCGTTATGTGTAAATGCAAATATTCCCAAACCGGAAACATCAGAAATCTGCAGCCCTCTGGGCCCAAGCTTTGCGGATGAGGGATGCTTGGTGTGTGTGTGTGAAATCAGTGGGTCCTACAGGGTTCCGGTGAAATCACCCAGGACCTCCGCCCCCAGTGACGGCGAAGTCGGAGGAAACAGCGTCATCTTGGTACCCACCACGGCATAGCAAGAACCTGCGGGCAGGAGACAGCCTCCATCTCCAAGGGCCCTGTGACATGGACACCCTTGGTTCCTTTGGGGGTGGGAACAAACAGCGGAAGATTCTGTTGTTGAAAAAAGGAACCGAAATGTGATCAATTCCCACAACCCAGGGTCCAGAGGAGAAAACACCCTGAGAAGAGGGACACCCAGAGCCGGAGAGGACGCATGGAGCGTGCAGGATTTGTGGTCACCCAAAGAGCCTTGGGCTCCACTGAGGCCATGTGGAGGGCCCTGGGTGGCTCCCGTATAAAGGTCTCCTCCCTGTATTTACTCCCGGGCTGGGCAGTGCATTCAGTGATGCCAACGAGGGGCTTCCCATGGCCCAGCGTGATTGCAGTTTGGGGAAAAAGAGGGACACGAGTCCCTGGCTTCGCTAGGTTACAGAGAGCGAGCCACGTGCGCATAACGCAGTGCTCGTTAGGCAGCAGGAATGGTACGGCCGGTGAACGGGGTGGTGCATGCCCAAGGCAACCAGGGAGGCGTCCTGTGGGAGGGGTGTGGGGCAGGAACAGTGAGGAAGCCCCTGGCTAGGAGCAGCCGCTATAAGAACAATGCTTTAGTCTGTCTCTGCAGCACCAGCTTCCTCCAGAGACCACCTCGGCTCACCCTAAACACACATCTGACCCTGTGTCCCCTCCTCCAGGACTCTGTGGGTCTCCTGTGGCCCTCGGGACAAAGCTCAAAGTCCTTCTTAGCATGGCATCCAGGGCGGCATGCAGGGAATCCGTCAGGATCCTGGTCTCCCATCCATCTGTCACCAGCCTCTCTGACCCTGCTTTGTTCTCTCTTCTCCTTGGCCTGGGTCTGGTCAGCTGTGTGCCAGCTCCATGACAGCGAGGATTATCTGTCTTGTCCCGGGCCGTACAGTTCCAGAGCCACACCCAGAGCAATGCCTGGCACACAGGAGTCACTCTTCAAAAATGCGCGGAGGCAAGCCACGGGCCCGGGTGGGAGCAGGCACTGCACACGGGCCCCGGCACACAAGAACCCAGCAGGGCTCCTTTCTCTCCCCCTGCCTGGCCCGACCCCAGCAGGACTCTCCTGGGTCCCATCCATGCCACCTCCTCCCCCTGGCACCCTGTGGTCAGGGACACTTCCCCCTGCCTCATGCCACCTGGCCTGGCATGTGCCGGGCCCAGGGCCCGGGACACCTCCTTTCCTGTTCACTCAAGGACGAACTCTGCTCATCTCGGAGACCTGGCAGAAGATGTCACCTCACCTCTGGTCCTGCACGGTACAGAACTGGAGGCTCAGTTCTCTGTCCCCAGAGCACTCAGTGCCTGGGTCTCTTACAGCACTTACCTCACGGTGCGACAGTGACTGTGCTGTGTCCAGTTCCCGTCACCCAGGAGCTCCGGAGCGGCCAGGTCTAGAACAACGCTGTCCAATAGAAGCATTATGTGAGCCACAAACACAATTTTAACTTTCCTGCCAGCTGCACTAAAAAGAAGTAAAAAGAAATAAGAGAAATTAATTTTAATAATATATTTCATTACCAAATATGTCAAAGCAGTGTCAATTCAACACGCAATCAAACAATATCTCAGGGATGAGGTGACTTACATTCTTTTTGTGGGCTAAATCTTCCAAATCCGTTGTCCATTTTGCACTAATATCAATTTGGAGCTAAATTTTAAAGGGCTACACTGAAATGTAACCCTACCAAAACAATAAAGTTGTATTTCACAGAAAGCTTTGTACATAACCTCAGGTTTTTTATTTAAATTTAAATATTAGTTTATTACACAACATTTTTAGCTCTTGAGTTACATAGCCACCTTTCAAGTGCTCAATAGCCTATATAGCTATACCTAAAAGAACAGATCTAAATCTTATTCTTTCTAATAGGACCATAGCTCTGGCTTATAATGGTCACCTTATCAATGATGGATGCATGGATGGATGGATGGATGGATGGATGGATGGTGGATGATGGATGGATGAATGGATGGATGGATGGTGGGTGATGGATGGATGAATGGATGGATGGATGGATCGTGGATAATGGATGGATGGATGATTTGAGTTCTGGGTGTTCCATCCACAAACTCTATGATCCTAGAAAGTGGCTGAACCTCAAATTCTCATCTGGAAAATGGATATAGAAGTAACATTTACCTCCTGGTTTAGTGTGATACAGTTTACAGAGTTCATACTTCCCTGGTAGGACTAATTAAGATAAAGTCTATGAAGCACTTAGCATGGTACCTAAGGTCGTGTACTAAGTACAGACAAAACAGTAGCTTCGATTATTACTGTTTAAAGGGTAATAGTATTATTAGAGTCATTCTATCAGGTATACAACAACCATGTAAAGCGATTACAATTTCCCAAGTAATCTTGTCCCAGACAAACAAAACTAGGTCAGGAAAAAATAGGCTTGGACCTGGATTTCCTCTGTGATTGCTTGTACGTGCACGTGCTGTTTGTATCTGTTGAGCCATGGGAAACAGGCCCTCAGCACCCCGCCACGACCCAGCGTGTCTCAGAGTGAGTCCTGCCTCTGTCATGTTTACCATCACCAGGGACGAAGGTGCTAAAAGCAGGCACAAGAGAGGGACATTCCCGCCGGGTCACTGGTGCAGTGATGCAGGAGCTCTGGCTGGTGTCACAGGCCTGAGATGGCCCAGGGCTGGCAGCTGGGTGCCCGCGGAGCCAGGCTGCCCGCAGACCAGCTGGCCAGAGAGGCTGGCCACCTTCCCAGCAAAGGCGAGCCACTTCATCCTCTGAAGGGCCAGCTGCTCCTCCAGCCTCTTCCCCAGTCTTATCCTTTGGAACCTGAATTACCAAGCACATTTCAAGCTGTCCCCAGGCACCCAGCTGTTCACACATTCATGCAGCATGCACTCATGGTGCGTCAAAGGTGCTGTGGGCCTCGGGCCAGCTGGGGGTGAAACAGCCACAGAAGGTGGTCTTCGGCCTCACTGAGACCCTAACACCTCCGTCTGAACCGCACTCTGCAGTTTACAAAATACTTCACCACGCATAGTCTCTTCATCTTCAGAATGAGATTTCACTTGGGGTTGGATTTTTTACACTGTTCATTTTTCATAAGATGAGTTAAGAGACTCTTGCAATTTGCAAATGACAAGCTGGGGCTAGGCGTGGAGTGCACTCTTGTCATTCTTGCACTCAGGAGGCTGAGGCAGGAGGATTGCTGGGAGTTTGAGGAGAGCCAGGGCTACACAGTGACTTCAAGCTCAGCCTGGACTACATAGCAAAACCTTGTCTCAAAAAAATAATAAATAAAACGAGATCAAATGAGGAGCTAGGACTCAAAGTCAGGTATGTTAGCTAAGTGCGGCTCATATCCAAACATCACATCTCACAGTCACTACAGAAAAGTCACCCCAAAATCACCTCATCAGAAGAAAAAGGTGATTGGATTGTATGCATAATAGCTCTAAAAAGAACTAGGTTATACATGGTTTGTGAAGAAGGATACAAGAAATAAAGACAGGGAGGACTTCCAGGAAAAGGTAGAGTGGCGAACCGCAGAGAAACATCCTCTCTGAGATTTGCTGTCCAGATGCTGGAATACAGCAATGTGAGGAAGAGAAGGAGGGCAGTGGGTCCTGGGACGAAGCAAGGATCTAAAGCAAGAATTGAAGCCCACAGGAAGAGCAAAGAGAGACTTGAACAAAGAAGAAGGAGGTAGCAAGTGGCACTTTCTCCCTGAACCCCGACTCACTGCATGAGGGAGCAGCTCAAACCTGCAGACACAGTGACTACTGGTGACCCCAGATGCTTCCATGGAGAAACACACCAGTGAGCCAGAGCAGTGGACATAGTGGATGGCACATATCCCCCAAGAAAGCGCTTGGCCAGCAGCCCTCTTGGAGAGAAGGCAACTGAGCTCGGAACTCAGAGCTGCTGCAGACTGACTTCATCTAGCAGCTCCCAGTGTCAGGGTCAGGTGGAACAGAGTTCAAGTTGGCAGGAAGTCAAGGAGCAGAGATGAAGCTGGCAGGGAGCCAAGTTTAAGCCGTAGGAGGGACACAGAATGTTGTAGGCTGAACAAAGAGAGTTCCAGCCTCACCGCCTGAAACCAGCCTGAACTTCAACGGAACTAAATGTGTGGGCTTGCTGGGATCATCCACTACCCTGCCATAAATCCATGGCTATCTTGCTGGGATTAACCAACGTGGATCTGGGCTCTGTCTATCCACTTTCTGTACCAATGACAGCAGAGACACCAGAAGTGAAAATGTTTTTTCTTCATCATTTTTCTCTTTTCTTAGTTTTTGTTTTCTTTTTTATTTGTTCATTCTTGTTTTTACATGAGCGTACATGTTGTTTCTAGTTTTCCTGCTGTTGTTCTGTTCTGTTCTGGTTTTTATTTCTTCCTTCTCTCTTTCCCTCCTGCCCTCTTCACCAGTTTCCCAAAATTCACATAATCTCCTTTTGTTCCCAGCTTTGCTTCTGATCTCTTCCTCTTCTTCTATTTTTCTATTATTCCCTCTAGCCCCTTTTAAATTTTCTCCCTAGAGGGTAAAATTGCCATTTTGAGGCATATATACTACATACAATTTTCTGGTTTGTTTTAGATTTTGTTATATAACCACAAATGTAGTTCATACGGTTAAAAGTGGAAAATTAATGGTTATTACAATTTGCCATTTTCTAGGTTGTGTTTGGTGCTACTGTTATTGCTGATTGTACTACTTTCAAGGTGACATAAGTGTTATAATCAGTTACTCTTCCTGGTATACCAAGATTGAGATTGCCCAACGATCATAAACAATACTACTATATGGGCAAGTGTCAAAGAACCAGAGGCTAAGTCAAATAGGTAGCAATTTCTCATCCCAAATAAATTGAAGAGGTAAGATCTTGCAACAGACTCAAAATGAAAAGCCAGCTGCACCTTGAAGACATCTCTGAGAAGTAATCATTTCCTAAAAGTTCTGAATACTAATAATAAAGCTACATGCCATAAGCAATTTACAAGCATCAACCCAGAAATTAAACTTTAAAAAAATAGAAAATGAGAAGACATTTAAGCAAGATGCAATCCCAGACTTCCAGTTCATCAAAGGCAGACCCAGAAGGCAATGAGTTGGGACAGTTTGAAAGCCACCCACCTAGACACTCTGAAGTAGTAACAGCAGGAGTAACAAAGCAGAGGAGTGAGTCTTTAGAAAAAAATCAGATCAGAAATAAACACTCAGATAACTACAGAGATGGTGACCATAACAAAACACATGGTTAGTGACTCTAGAACAGGTACGGATTTTTAAAAAATAGAGAAACTTAGGAAAATGATGGAAACCATGAATGCCCAACATGGGAAAGAAATGAAATCTATGAAACAGAATCAAATAGATATTCATGAAATTTAAATTTCCATTGAAAGTATACACAGCAGAATGAGCCAATGTGAAGACAAAATATCAGATATTGAAGACAGGATTGTGCTTAGCAATCATAAAAAGAAAGATTTCTTAAAAATAGCAATGGACCATGAAAAATCAATCCAACAGCTGCTAGACCATGCAAAAAAAGAAGAGCAACATAAAATTGATCAGAGTTGATCACTAAAAAACAAAAGATAATGCAAAAAAGATTTAAAAAGGCAAACCTGTTCATAGAAGTAATGGCAGCAAATTTCCAAGCATGGAGAAAGAATTTGACCTCCAGACATGTGAGGCATATAGAACTCTAATTAGTCATGATGGAAAAAACTACATTATGGCATGTAATAGTCAAGATTCCAGAAATTCAAAACAATAACAGAATATTAAAAACTATTAGAAAAAAGAAACAAATCACCTATAAAGGAAAGCCTATCAGAATCACAGCAGACTTCTCAACACAAACCCTCAAGTCTAAGAGAACTTGGAGTGAAGTATTTCAAGGCCTAAAAGAAAACAACCTTCAACCCAGACTGATGAAAGCTACAAAACTATCTTTCAAAGTTGAACACCTGAAGAAACTGATGATGATCAAACCAGCACTCCAATATGTTTTGAAGGACATTCTATGAAGAGATAATGAGGACTACAACTTCATGAACCTCAATAGAATTAATCTACCAGGCAAGGCAAGAAATTCAACAGCAGGAAGAAAAAAGGGAGCCATCCAGAGAAAAGTAACATGACCAAGATAAGTTAATACATGTCAGTTATAACCATAAATGTAAATGGTCTAAAATCACCAAACAAAAGAGATAGGCTGGCAGAATAGAATAAGAAGCAAGATCTAACAATACACTACATATAAAAACACATTTAATTCCAAAAGAAATTCATAAACTAAAAGTCAAAGGATGAAAAACAATACTCCATGTGATAGGAACCTGGAAAAAAGCAGGGGTATCTATTTTGTTTGCAGACAAAGTGGATTCTAGCTAGCCAAGACTGATTAAGAGAGACAAAGAAAGTCACTATATCCTTATAAAGGGAATAATCCAAGAAGAAGAGAAAACAATCATATGTATCTATCTGCACCAAATACCAGCACACCTAAGTATATAAAACTAATTTTAGCAGGCATGAAAAATCACATAAGCACTAATGCAATTGTAATGGGGGACCTCAATAGGCCATTGTCACCAACTAGACAAAACACCAACAATGAAATACCAGAAATGAACCAAACTTTTGAACAAATGGATTTAGTAGATGTCTACAGAGTGTTCTACCCTACAGCAAAATACATAGTCTTCTCAGTTGCACATGG